AACAGATTTTATAGCAATGGTTTTGGTCCACACAGTCATGTCCTTACCTACATGGTCCTAGAAACAGGACGAGAAGGAAAATTTGACCCAAGTTGAAAGTGATTGACTTTAACGACATGCAAATGCCCTGCCTGTGTCACCTGAATGGTACTTTGAAACTTGGCCCACTTACTTAATTTTATTAATAACATGTTTTTATACAGAGAACGGGTTGCATTCACAGCTGTGGGTACTGTGCGGGCATGTATTATGATCATTATCATTATTATTATTTAACACAAAGGGAAAAAATTGCCAAGCCCCAGAAAGGAAAATTTTCATGTTAAACCAGTCATTGTTGACAATAAGGAATATAATTAGTCTGACTCTGAAGCCTGACTTACATCAAAGAGAAGTGACAGAAAAATTATAATTCAGTCATTATATAAGCCAGGCGAGATGCTAGGAAACACCTCCCTAACAGAAACCCTAACAATTCATACCTGTGAGTACATCCTTGCACCGTGCACCGCTGACACGCTCCTTGCCGGTCCGGGGGTCTGTCTTCTTGAGCAAGCTCACGACCTCCATGTAATTGGCTGTGGCAGCCCCGTACCTGGCAGCAGTGAGGGCAATGGCAAGGTTCATCCGTGCATCGTTGTGTTGTCCTGCAGCGAGGGAAAGCATAAGAGGAAGGACAGGAGTCACCCCGAGCCACAGACTGGTGGTGGAGCAGGGTGTCACAACAGATATGTCACATCTGTGCCTGTCACCCAGAATCTGCATGATGGCTAGTCAGCTCTATTGGGGGTGGGGGGTGGGGGGCTACTTAAAAATCCATGGCCCTACTCAGTCAGGCATGTCAGTTTCAGCATGTGTATTTGGTATAACTCAAAACTGGGGACAAAGATCCTTTTCCTACAAAGCTGCTAACCAATGACGGGAAAGTTAAGGAAGCAGTAATTATTCACTCCATTTGAGAACATATGCATATATCAGACTTTCCCTGAAACAGACCACCCATAAGCATGGAAGTGAAGCAATTCTAAACTTCAGAGGATTTGACACCCCAACTGGTGTTGATTAGCAATTGGTACTAGAATGTGCTCTATCTAATATTCAAAATCAAGAGCTCCATCTCCCATAGAGAATCTCGGCATTCCATAAAAGGATATTTTTTTCCCTTCTTGGTTTGAATTTTTCTCTGAGCTCCTTAAAGTGTAACTTATTTTTCAACCTCGCATAAAAGATAAGAAATTAAGCAGGGCAAAATTTAATTACAGAACAATTCCTACCTGTATTGTTAAAGATTTATTGCTGAAAAATCCTAGTTAAAGAAAACTACGGGGAGTAGGAGGGGGGGAGAGATGATTAATCACTTTAAAATACTGGCATCACTAGAGACTTTTTCTATTTATTATTGCCAGTGGAGTTAATGCTGACCGGGAAGAATTACTCTACATTGCAGGGGCCAGGTTCTCTGTGCCCTGAATAATTAATTACCCAGAGCTAGATGTATTGAAGGAGGGTTCAAATTCCCACACATTGGGATCAGTTCTATCAAGATAATACTGATAAAGGGATGGATTTGTAATGGATATTGTTGTTGATTTATGTTGCCAGCATACCAAACATTTAGTATAAATGGTTTATGTAAAGTTCCTTCCTTGTGATTCAGTCTGTGTAGGGCTAGAAGCACTATACAAGTAATCTATTCCAGCTAAAAGGGCAAAGTTATAAAGAGAGAATCAATGACTGAAGATTCTGCAGCCCCTCCTCACAAACATCTTACTCTAAATCCGCTGAACTAATACAATCATCCAAGAACCTTTCCCCCAAAATTAAATGCTCTATCAAGTGCAGAACATACATTAAACTTCAACATGCAGAATAAGGAGTTATTTTATCCAAAAACAATAGAATGAAGGTAGGTGGAGAAGAGGGAGGGGGGAGGGGGGGCGTAATACTTGAGTTATATGTGGAAATTAACAAGGGTAGAAATGATGTCATTTGGCACCCTAGCATGACCCTAAATTGCTACTAAAATAGTCATATGGCATAGTTAAAGTGAAGCTTAAGAACCAACTATTACTCATGTAGGGGTCCTTATTTAAACAGGCATATGTACGAGCCACTGTTAAATGCATGCAGAGCAAACAGTGTAGATAGAAGACATTAAAATTCATTGATTATATTCTCTTTAAGTTTACACAACCATCTTGCTAGCAGAAATTACCCAAATCTATATAGTACTCGATCTTTTTAGTAGATTTATGTGCATAACAAGGAAACACCCTATTTAATCGAGGTAAACAGCTCATAGTACAAGAAATCAAGGAATGTTTGGCTTCACTACAGGAGTATGGTATGGAAACTCCCATCCATTTAGAAACATCTTGATGGGCAGATAGAGCAAATGTCTGGAAACTCGTGTGTCAATGAACAACTTTAAATACTAAAAGTTATCACTTCTAAATGGGACCAGGTAACACTTCCACTTACTAAATGACAGTTTCCTTTAAAAAGTTTCATCTCTATTGTGCAATCATAATAGAACAAAACTCAAAGGAACAGACGTCTTTGCTTTGGAGAAAACAAAATATTTTCATATTTAAACTATAAAATGTAAACTCACACAAGTTCCTTGGGTCATCACTTTCTAGCCCCTACTCTGAGCAGCGGCATTATCGGTTTTGACTGGAGCATTCTTTGTCACATATTTCTAAGATCCCTCTATGATCCTCATGCACCCCAAATCGTCCCCTCCCCTATTCCTCCTCTTTAGGACTGCTAACTTATTTGAAACTCCCCGAACACACCATGCTGTTTCACATATTCTTGCTTTGGCCCACACCGATTCTTCTGAGTGGAACACCATTCTGTAAGCTCTGGAAAACTATCCATCATTAGTGATGTGTTTCAAATCTCTCCATGATATTTTTTGTCTGGGGATCCCTCCAAAGCAAAGACGTCTGTTCCTTCCTCTGCTTCACATTATATTTTGCACATTCCTTTTTTGGTAGTCTTGGAGATACTATCTCCATTCATTCACCCACCCATTTGAAAGTGAGTAACCCTCTATGTGAGCCAGACAGTGGGATAAACTAGAACCCACGACGGTGAGAAGAATATGGAGTTTTACCAGGGTGGAACTTATAACCCATTGCACTTACTGTGTGATTTCCCATGTGTCCTCATCTGAGTTCCAGGGCGGCTGAAAGAAAGCCTACTTGGTCATCTGCCTCCTCCCCAGCCCCTTAGTAATAAGCACAACATGTTGTTAGGTTCCGTTGGGTCAGTGCTGAATCACTGAAACCCTATGCACAGCACAAGGTAACACAACCCAATCCTGAGCCATCGTCGTAATGGTTCTTAGGCTTTGGCCCATTGTTACAGCTACTGTGTCAATCCATCTTTTAGAGAGCCTTCTTCTTTTTCACTGTCCCTCCACTTTACCAAACATGATGTCCTTCTCCAGGGACTCAACTTTCCTGATAACGTGTTCAAAGTACGTGGGACAAAGTCTCGCCATCCTTGACTCTAAGGAGCATTCTGGTTGTATCTAACACAAATCTGTCTTGTTCTTTTGGCAGTCCATGGGACCTTCAATATTCTTCGACAACACTATAGTTCAAATGCATCAGTTTTTCTTTGGTCTTCCTTATGCAATGTCCAGCTTTCATATGTACATGAAGTGGCTGAAAATACCATGACTTGGGTCAGGTGGACCATAAGTCCTATAAGTCACATCCTTGTTTTCCAACATTTTAAAGACGTCTTGGACAGCAGATTTACCCAGTGCAACGCACCACTGCATCACGACTGTTACTTCCACGCAGGATGAAATCCTTGACAACGTCAATCTTTTCTCTGCTGATCATGATGTTACCTATTGGTTCACCTGGGAGGAGTTCTGTTTTCTGTACATTTTTATTTTCTTTTTGCTTCTGGTTTTGTTTGAGTCGTAATCCATCCTGAGGCGGCAATCTTTGATCTTCACCAGCAGGGGTTTCAAGCCCTCCTCACTTTCAGCAAGCAAGGTTGTACCATCGGCATATTAATAAGTCTTGTTAATAAGTCTTCCCCCAATCCTGATGCTCCATTCTTCTTCAAATCATCCAGTCTCTCTGATGATTTGCTCAGCAACTTTCCTTTTAAACCATGTAGCAGTGTTCCTTTGTTGTTCCCATAATTGCCTCTTGATTATGTTCAAGGTTCCACATAGCACAATGAAATCTGATTCTTCTCAAGGTTATCCATAGATGGTTATGATCCATATCATCAAATGCCTCGGCATAGTCAATAAAGCACAAATAAGCATCTTTCTGGTATTTTCTGCTTTCTGCCAAGATCCATATGACATCAGCAATGTTATCCCTTGTTCCACATCCTCTTCTGAATCCAGCCTGAACCTCTGGCAGCTCCCTGTTAAAGCACTGCTGCAACTGTTGTTGAGTGATCTTAAGAAAACATTTACTTGCATGTGATATCAATGATATTGTTCTGTAATTTGAGCATTCTATTGGGTCACCGTTCTTTAGAATGGGTAAAAAGATGGATCTCTTCCAGTCAGTTGGCAAAGTAGCTGTCTTCCAAATTTCCTGGCATAGACAAGTGAGTGCTTCCAGGGCTTTATCAGCTTGTGGAAACATTTTTATTGGTATTCCATCAATTTTTAGAGCGTTGGTTTTGGCTAATGCTTTCAGTGCAACTTGAATTTCTTTCTTCAATACCATTAGCTCTTGATCATATGCTACCTCCTGAAATGGTGGGCTGTCAACTAGTTCTTCCTGGTAGAATGACTCTGTGTATTCTTTCCATCTTATTTTAATGCTTCCTGCATCGTCCAATATTTTTGCCATGGAGTCTTTCACTATTCTAACTCAAGGTTTGAATTTTTTTTCTTGAATTCTTTTGATTTCAGATATACTGAGCATGTTCATTCCTTTTGCTTTCTAATTCTAGACATTTGAACATTTTATTATAATATTTGGCTTTGTCTTCTCTAGTTAGTTGCCCTGTGAAATTTTCTATTCAACTCCTTGACTTCATCATTTCTTCCAATTGCTTTAGCTACTCTACAATTAAGACTAAGGGTCAGAGTCTCTTCTGACATCCATTTGATCTTTTCTTTCTTTCCTGTCTTTTTATTGACCCTTTGCTTTCTTGATGAATGATGTTGATGTCATCCCACAGGTCATCTGTCATCAGACCTGATCTTGAAATGTTCTCAAAATTTGGGTGGGATATATCCTCAAGGGTATATTTCAGCTCTCGTATACTTATTTTGATTTTCTTCAATTTCAACCTGAACTTACACATGAACAGTTGATAGTCTGTCTGTTCCAGTCAGCCCCTGGCCTGGTTTGACCTTCTGATATTGAGCTACTCTATCACCTCTTCCCACAAATGTAATCAGTTTGATTTCTGTGTATTCCATATGGAGACGTCCGAGTGTATAGCTGCCGTTTGTATTGTTGAAAAAAGGCATTTGTGATAAAGAAGTCATTGGTCTTACAAAATCCTAAAATGCAATTTCAACTGTTTCTATCACCAAAGCCGTTTTTCCCAACCTCCTCTTTGTATTTTCAATTCCTTCCTTGCACAAAGTAAGTATCCAGTAAATATTGAGTTTGTAGTCCTGGGTGGTGGAAATGGTTCATAGACT